AAGGACCCCATACCGGATATCTACCAGCCGGTGATTGAGCGCTTCTGGCCTGGACCGCTTACTATCATTCTACCGGCCCCTGAGAATTCCATCCTCGCACCAGAGGTGACAGCAGGTCTTCCGACTTTTGGCGCACGAATGCCGCGTTCTATCATCGCCTTGTCCTTGTTACGGCTATGCGGTCGCCCACTCGCCGCACCATCCGCAAATGCGTCCACACGACCTTCGCCCACCGCTGCGGAACACGTTTACGACGACTTGAACGGCAAGCTAAATCTAATCATCGATGGCGGGCCATGCGAAGTGGGAGTTGAAAGCACAGTCATAGACGGACTATCGAGCCCACCTGCGATACTGCGGCCGGGTGGCGTCACTGTGGAACAATTACGGCAATGCCCAGGATGGGAGAACGTAGTGGTCGGATACAAGGATAAGCAAGCGGAAGATTCGAGTAAACCACGCGCGCCTGGGATGAAGTACAGACACTATAGTCCCAAGGCATCGGTTCTTCTGTTCGAGACAGGCGCGAGCCAACCTACGTCGGACGAGCTCAAGAGCAAAAGGCGCATTGGTGTCATTCGGACCAGGAGTTGGGATAAAGTGTTGGGTTTGGGCGCCGAGAAGGTGAAGACATCGGATTCGCATGGACCAGGAATTTGCGCTTCACCGGACACGGCCGCTTCTCTAGACGCCAACGACTCGCCGTCGCGCCTTTCAAACCTTCTGCGATCTGTTACCCAGCACCAAATACCGCACGCTGATCACTACATTGTGAAGCCCGAGGCAGTCCAAGTTTGGGAAATAAATCTTGGCGCAAATACCGAGGATGTTGCCAGAGGCCTATTCTCGGCGCTAAGAGAGCTTGACAAGAAAGGCGTAGAGGTAATATATGTGGAGGGTATCGACGATAAGACAGGTGATGATATCGCCGCCGCGGTCATGAACCGACTCAGAAAAGCGGCAGAGATCAGGACATGAACGGAGATGAACATGGCGCACATTCTGATTGAATGAGAATACTTCCATTTTTCCAATATTCACGCTCGACCGCTGATTGCCGGGTATCGATACGGGCCATACACGATATGCTTGACACGTCGATGAACAACTCAGTGATGCATTTGGCGAGTGTGGATATCTGTTGGCGATAAAACGACTCTCCGACACCTCTCCTTTGCGACATACACCGACCCTCTTACCATTTTGCAAGCATATTAGCGCCGCTATCATGTCCGCTCGCAATGTGCATCTCGGCCTTATTGCAATGCTAGTTAGCTGTACTCTGGGAGCTCCCCAAGATGAGAATAACAATCAGACATCCACGACAACCGATCAGCTGCCGCCGATAGGTAGTTCAACTACGACTGTCACCTTTACTGGGACAACAGCAAGCACACTACCACCTTATGTGCCGCCTCATGAGACTGGCAACTATACCTCCGGATTCGCCGTCCCTCCACCACCAGGCTCAGTGACGGCACCGTCCGATGGACCTGACTACAGTAAACCCACTAGCACAGCGGTCACTCTGATCTGCCCCCATCCGACTGAACCATGCATTATCGACGGTATTCCCATCTGGCCGTCTGGCACTACCTCCCTCGTCTTACCGTCCTTTACATATGATCCTTTGCCGACCTCCATGGCTTCTGGTTCTCTTCCAAGCGCGGGCAGTACGATGGTGACTGATACACTTGCTACGTCTGCCAGCCCAACCAGTCCGATGGGTAAAAGTACTACTTGCTCCCATACTGTGTCGCATATTGTACCTGGTAATTCCAGCACTGATCTGCCCTGGACACCCGTGTTACCTTGGATAACGCACTCGAGATCCGTGGACACACCATCAGAACGCCTCCCCACCTTCTCGGTATTGAGCAGCACTGCGTCTGGAATACTAGCGACACCATTGGTAATACCGCTTATCTCTGGATCAGAGACTTCCGAATTCTACTGGCCCACAAGGAGCGCCATAGCTACCAGTAGCTCAGCTACTTCGTCAGCATCGATAACTCCACCTAACGTAAGTACTATAACCACCGCTTCTGCAATTCTCTCTACATCCTCCACCACATCAGCTCACTCACGTTGCAAGGTCAAGTTCACCCAAGCTTCCGAAGATAAGGTACCCGTGAAAGTTCGAGATACAGAATCAATCGCAAGCAACACCAGCGCTATGCATTCTGCCATCCTCACTCTGAAGACCAAGTACATCGACGCATCAGATTTCAGAGGTATGGATAACGCAACACCTTCTGCAGGACGAGACGAAGAGAGCAAAGCCACTAAGAGGAGGATAAACTACTGGACGCGCTTCTTCGCCGTTGCGGACCCTCTTGCACGTGTGATGGAACAATGCTTGGCATGTGATCAAGACGGTGAGGTTACTTGCTTGCCTGGCGGAAAGTATACATGGTGTACGGATGGGTGTGCTGTGACACTGAAAATGGGCTGTGATATGGTCTGCAAAGAGGGTGTCATACGCAAGGAAGGAAAGCATTGCGTACGATGAGGGTATTCGTAGATATACTGTTGTATTGTAATAACCATGTCCTCACTTCCTGAGAAGCAGCAAAAGCTTTGCACGTGTCTACATCCATACGTCCCTTTCACACAACTGCATGAAGGTTTGCCACCCATCGTCAAACTTCCAGGGTCTTCACGCCGACGTTTCACCACGACAACGTCAACCCGAAAAACCCAAAGTCACCGACTTATCAGTTTGCGTAATGAACTGTTGCCACCAGCGTTTCGGAACTCACTGGCTTTCGGCGAACCGCTGTTTGCCCTGAAACACCTTGCGATAGTGAACCACATGTTCGACTGCCATCTCGGAGCGACATGATGCGATCGGTCCCAGTCCTTGGAATTCCAAAGAGGCTAAGTTACCATACCGGTACAGGTGCCTGACGATCGACACTGTACGTCACCTGCAGGGCAGTGCATCCTAGCTGATTAACAACCTTGGATGATCTGGGGCTCACAGTTTCACAACCCTTCGGGGCTTACCATCGTACACATGCAGAGAGGCCCTGCATCACGGCTTGTCCATCTCGTAGGTTTGTGCCAAAGACCGTGTGCTCTGCGATCTACCGACGTCACGTGCGCACTGTCAGATTCTGGACCGCGGAATCCAGGCCACCCACGCACCACGCCCGGGTCGTTGCTTCCGATACCGAACCGTGCCCACGATCCAGAACTGTCGGAGCGAGTGGAAATCATTACGTGTACTCGCGACATCGCGACGAGCTATGATATCGCAACCTCGCCCTTATTCCCAGCCCGAGGAATATCAGAACGACAAACAATGGCAAACGTAGACACATGTCATGCCCAGCTGTTGGGAGATGAAGTTTGACACACCGGGCGCAGAGCGCATGCGTTAGGCTGCGCAAGACCAGCAGCGCTTATGCAGGAACCTCCTTCCTATCGATAGGCTATATCGATAGCGCAGGGCTGGTTGACAGTCGCCTCGACTCGTATTGGATGCGTGTTAGTGTGCCAGCGAATGAATTGCCTCACCGTGGAGAACCGATTCCATTGTTGCTGGCACAAAATCGGGGAGGCAGATCTCGAGCGCAATATCCTCAGGCGCACACGATGGGAGTTCTCGTTGTGATCGTGTGACGTCGGTGGAAGCGTCACAGCTGCGTTGTCTGTTCATCGGCAGACAGAAGAAAACAAAGACGTTCGGAGCCCGATAGAGGGCGGGATATGTCGGTAATTATGACAAGGACCAGCCTGGCGGAGCGCTTTCGCGTGCGTACCACGTTGTCGTTGTGGTTGACGTGGGTGTAAGGTCACCGTTGATGCGACACGACACCTTGTCCATGAACATCGGGAATAATCTTATCGTGACTTGTAATTGTGTCGACGCTTCAGAATGCTGCGAACATAACAATGGATAATTGAGGTGTGCTAAGCTGAGCTGAAGTGCATGAGCAAGGGAGCCGGCTGAGTACGAGGTCGCGCGCGGAGTGCCTGCCGTGCCACATCGGTTGGTATTTTTGCATCGGACCGCCTCAGTGTTGACTCGTCAATACGAGAAAGCCTCGTCAGCATCGCATACGCCCTCTCGGCTTACCTCCAGTCCTCAGCCCCTTTGGGTCGCGAGCCCGAACACGGTAATGCTCAACAAACAAGACGATGGTCGCCGGATGAGGGCCTCGTCATCGCTCGATAGAACTGGTCAGACTCCCGCAGAGGCGATCACACTTTCGGAAATGAGAGCGTCTGCGTCTAGAATACTCGATCAACCCGCGCGGTCTTTGCGCCCGGCCCCACCCCTTACGATGCCGCGAGTACCAAGACTTGTGAAGGATCTGTGGTGCTGTCACTATGTGGGACCAACGCACACCATACAGCGAACGTCGATAACATTCACGTGGGCGACATGTCTGACAGGATGACTTTCACGTCTATCGATAGAGCAGCTTGCAGGCGCAAAAAGCAGATCTGACACCGAAACCGACGCAAACGGTATACGGCCCCTGCTTGCATGCGTCGGTGAGCGGGTGTACCTGAATGTGGCGGCTACGTGAAACGCACGGCGCCATGCGGTAGCTAATCAAGACGGACCACGACCTTAGCGGCTCAGGCCTCTTCTGAACTGTGAATGGCCAAGTAGGTTATTTCCACCTGAACCCCTGGCTTACCCGCTTGCGCAGAGCCTGAAGGTGTGAAAGGTTCTAGCCAGGCGCATGCGAAAGGATCGAGCGCCCGGATTCCCCGCGAAAAATATATGAGGTTGAAAATCACCCGCCCTCCCCGTTGTTTTTGTCACAACCTGATCCTCAGACTCACACCAAACACGGTCGTTGCCAGCCACTCCTTTGAGCATTTCTGCTCGGTACATTCTCTTGTCGCTCTGACTACCACGTTCATTGTTCGACTGTCCAACGATTTCGCGCTCAGGTTAGCCGCATCTGCTTTTACTCATCGATACCCTACAAGCAAGCGTAACGCACATCCTTAACCTGCAATCTACAACGAACATCGACATGTCTGCCTCTGTCAAGTTTACCGGCCTTTTGGCCCTCGCTTCCGCCGTTGCGGCTGTTCCCCACTACCAGCACGAGAAGTTCCACCACAGGGCTGCTTACCCAGTCAACGGATGGGGTAACTCCAACACCACTGCCATGGCTCAGGCTACCGGTACCGGTGCCTACCCTGGTGAACAGACTACCACCATCGACACGACTTCGACCTCCACCTACACTCAGTACGAGACCGTCTACCAGAAGCCTTCCGGTCTTGCTGGAGGCAACAAGCAGGTCGAGGCCGCTGATGCCTCGACTGGTGTCTGTGGCGCAACCGTCACTGTGACTGCTTCCGAGAAGGTCACTGTCACCGTCACTCCCGGTGGCGGTGCTGCTCTCCCCACCTCATCTGCCGCTGGCAATGGATACGGAGTCCCTTCTTCAGTCATGCCCGTCGCTGAGTCAAGCTCCACGGCCGCTGAGTACCCTGCCGCTCCTCCTGCCGACAAGCCCACTTCCTCTGCTGTCAAGAGCACCGTCGAGACTCCCGTAGCTGAGGCCACCACCTCTCCCGCTGCCGAGTACCCCGCCGCTCCTCCTGCTGCTTCGTCTTCCAAGGCTGAGTACCCTGCCGTTCCTGAGGCCCCCACCTCCAAGACCCCCGAGATCACCGCATCCGCTCCCCAGAAGCCCGTCGAGTCGGCCAGCTCTGTCGCCTCCTCCGCTGCTCCTTCCCCCACTGCTGGCAACAGCTACAGTGGCGTCAAGCGTGGTCTCGCCTACAACGAGGCTCACCTCTGCACCACCTTCGGCAGCAAGTTCGGCTTCGGTTACAACTGGGGACAGGTTGAGAGCAACGACATCGGCACCTCCTTCGTCCCCATGATGCACGGTCCTAGCAAGTCTTCCGCCGACGAGTGGCTCGCCAACGTCGACACGGCCGTCAAGAAGGGTTCCACCGCCGTCATGGGATTCAACGAGTGTGACCACACCTCGCAGTGCAACCTGAGCCCCGAAGCCGCCTGCACCGCCTGGAAGGAATACATGAACCCCGTCAAGGCAGCCCACCCCGAGGTCACCATTGTCGGACCCTCCGTTACCAACGGTAAGTTTTGGCTATACGAATTGCATGTGAGACACATACTGACTTAACTTAAAAGGCCCTGCTCCGATGGGATTGGACTGGCTCAGCCGCTTCAACGACTGCTGCCCCGACGCCCACGTCGACGCAACCAACATCCACTTCTACGACATCTACGACGAGCAGACCATCGACCGCTTCCAAGCTCAGGTCGAGAAGGCCGCCGACATGGGTGGCAAGAAGGTCTGGATCACCGAGTTCGGTCTCAACCCCGGCAGCGCCTCCGAGGAGCAAGCCGCCAGCTTCCTCAAGGACGCCATGGCCTACCTCGACGGCTCCGACAAGGTCCAGGGTTACTCCTGGTTCATGGTCGGTGACGGTGAGAACCAGCTCAACTCTGGCAGCGGCCTCTCGGCTGTTGGCAAGGTCTACGCTGGTGCCGCTTAAGCACCTACTTCTCTCTGTTCTCTTTTCAGGACGGACGGGTTAGGCGTTTTTGTGTGGTAAAAGACTTCTCTGTTTGTGTGTGCATATTTTTGGGTATATCCTTGGGACAGGCTTTGTTCTCTGGGGACATCATGGCATAGAACGAACGTATGCGCACTCTGATGCAAAACGATCGCTTCAGTATATTGCTTTTTGTTTAACTTCTAGTTACAGTTGTGTTTGAGGGGGTATGGTGGATTGGTGTAGCGATACATGTGATGAATAGAAGACCGTTGATTTCAATTCTTGTCCCTTGCATTCTGTGACTTGCTGAAAGCTGACGCGGTGATGTTGGGTCGGAGAGAAGCATTCACTGACATAAGCCCTAATGATGTTGTTACCATATTGCTTCTTCGCTGTTCTACCCGACGAAGCACTGATGCATCAATATTAATCTCACGCGTTGTTCTAATTACATAGAGATTATGCAGTCAGCTTGACATCGCCACAGCGACGTACACATGTGGAGTCTTGCAAGGCCAATTATGTCCTCCCTAACACGCGTACCCCCTGGTATCAACCGCGACGATGCTCCCAGGCACCACAACACTCCCATTGATAGGCATCGCCAAACCCCCAGCAGTGCTCACATACAGCACATCACGATCCCGGTCTGTTCTACCAAACGCTGCCGCGGTGTCCCCTGCGAACGTCACTGACCCCTTTGCACCTGCGACTACCTCCATCTTCTTCCCACCTGGACTCACAGCAATGACTGTGTTCTCGTAGTTGCTCACAGCCCACAACGTGCCATCCGGCCCGAACGTGAAGTCATCGACAAAGTCGGCCACCGCAGTCAGATTGGCGTATAGTTCCACACCCCCTTTGGGGCTATGCGGTATGTATCCTCTTGAAGTGATGGGAACGCGGTATATAGCAATGAGATCCGAATTACTGAAGTACACCCACCCATCACGGACCTTGAGACCATTTGCACCAAATCCCACGGTAGCATTGTGCAGTTGTGGATACGGCTTGAGTTCTGGTCCATCAGCGATGATCTCGCTTGTCCCGGTCTTGGTATCGAAGCGGAAGAGGAGGCCGAATTGAGAATCTACTATTATGACAATAGAGGGATCGGATGGCAATGATTCAACTCCGTTGAGTAGTTTCGCCTGAGGTACGTTGGCGATTTTGTGAACCGTGGGTATGGAGATGTTGGCAGAGGTAAAGGTGGCTTGCCATACGGACCAAGTGCCGGCGTAGCCAGTTGAGTTGGTTGTAGCGTTTCCAGCGATGATGGCGTAGGTGTCGGGCGCTGTTTCTGTGATTCCGAGGAGATCGGTGACGTTGGTGGCACGGAATTCGTAGATGGGTTCTAGGGTTGCGTTTCCTAGTGATGGGTTCTTGATGGTGTAGAGTATGGGGACTGGAGCTAGTTGGGTGACGAGTAGATCGCCATTTGGCCGGACGGCAATATTTTCCAGCCAGGTTGGAACGGTGGGAAGCTGAGCTACTGTTCTGGCTGGGAGAGGAAGGGCGGGACCAGAGAGAGGTGACGATAAAGTGCCGAGACCTAAGACGGCCAGAGATAGTAGGAAAGTCAGTCTTCTAGGGGACATTGCGCTTTGCTATAAAATTAAATGGTAGTCGTCTCTTGTGGTGTACTTAGCGAGATACATGGGGCACTTTTGACTGCCATGTAGATATATGTCAAAGGGAACTGTTGGATGTATGGTCACGATGAGTATCTCGTATCTAGTTAGTGATAATTTTGATGCCTTTAGTGATAGGTATGTCAGCATGCTCTAACTGCGCGTAGTTCATGTCCCTCCACCTTCATAGATTGGCGTTGGTCTAACGACCTTACACATCGTCACGAAGCGTTATTCAGCAGATGGCTGTGTGTGATTGGATCCGTCTCGTACTACGACTCCACTCGTAAACGCAGCCGACCGGGTGTTAGCCTAGCGTTAACACTGTAGTAGATCCATGGATGTCAGAGGTACGTTTGCCATGCGTTGCCGTTCGGAAAGATGCAGATTGGGGGTGTCAAGAGGAAGGCGCGACTGAGAGCATCCTATGACAAAGCCTTGGAAGCGTGCTTTGTCATCCCACGTGTGCTGTACCAAACCAGCCGTGATGACGCCATGCAGATTCTCTGGTGACTTCCGATTTGGCAGTGTCTCGTTAGCCATATTTCTTGCGACAGCAGCTGCCTGTATCAACCAATCTTGAATTCCGAATTATAGAAATGTATCCAGTGCCAATCGCCTATCGATAACGCTCTTTCGACTGGACTGCTTGTGCCTAACGATGATGGTTTTCACAAGTCCTGAATATCCAGATATTGTGCGCATCTCTTGAAACACCCATGACAAGCACATGTTGCCTACGCCAATCTTACACGAGGTATAAAAGTACAGTAACGCCGTCCATACGCCTGCGATGGAGGTTGCTATCCCGTCCTTATTGGTTCTCCTGCTTCGTTTGTTGTTGTTGCTGTGATTGCTGCATGCCTTGCTGCATCGCATTCTGCCCCCAATTTTGCTGCAGGCCTGCACTATTCGGTGGTTGTGACGCATTCGAGTTCATCCGTTGCGGTCCGGGCGACTGCTTCATTTGTGGGGTCTGCCCCTTCCATCCTGGGAACAGCTCCTGCAGTTTGGTATATAGCTTGACGAGCTCGGCGGGTGAGGCGGGTATCGACATGATGGCGGGCCCCGGTTGTATTTGTTGTCCAGGCTTGGGCACCTTCTCCGCATTCTGCGCGAGGTAGGCGAGGTTTGCCTGGAGGCGGCGCATGTAGCTGGGGTTGTTAGCTGACGTCGCGCAAGGGATGCGCAGCACTCACTCGACGTATTCCTTGGATGGCTGCGGTTTGTCGCCTTCGGGCTTCCCTTCTGGCGTGGGCCCGACTTGGCCCGCCTTGCCCTGCGTCTGGAGCTCGCAAACTTCTTTGATGAGGATGCTGTTGATGTCGAGGAGGGTTGCGACGCGGTCTGCATTACGCGCCGGGTTGGCGGGCGACACTGGCGATGGGGGCACCTGCTTAACGGGCGTCGGGACCTGGGGCGGCTCCGCCTTGACGGGCAGCTGGAGGTTCATGGGGGTCTGCTGGCCGTTGGTCTGCATGCTGGGCGAGGGCTGTGGCTGCGGTGTCGCATAGGGTGCCTGGCCAGTGGTGCTGGCAGGGGAGGCCGTCTGGCGGTTCTGGGCAAACTGGTGGTGGGCAGGCGAGGGCATCGTCTGCGCATAGGGCGCGTTCGAGTAGGGGCTCGGCGACGACAGCTGGTGTTGTTGCTGCTGCTGCTGTTGCGCCTGCTGTTGTTGCGCCTGTTGCATGGCGGCTGCTCCATGGTGTCATGTCAGCCAGGCTGCCAGGAACGCGCCCACGGGCGGCGATAGGACAGGACAAGAAACGCGCACGTCACTGGCTTACCTCGCTGCTGGAGATACGGGGCTCCTGGCTGAATGCCATTGCTCCCCATGGCGCCACCCATGCCCGGGAACGACGGGGACTGCCCGTACTGCCCATGTGGGTTGGCTTGCTGCTGGAGCCGCGCCTGTGCATCGAATTGGGCGTGTTGCGGGGAATTGGCGAACTGGCCGCCATACGCATTAGGGTTATTGAAATCCATGTTCGGCACTCATTGGCCACGTCGCACAACTCGGTTTAGATTGATCGGTGGGTTGATCCGTTGATGGGAGAAAACGTGCGGTTCGTGATAAGCTTGGGTTTCGGCTCTAGAAGCTTTGCAACCCCAGCTCAGGCCAGCCGAGCGAGTCAAGTTGGCCGTCCTCGCCCTCTTTGTTCCCGCGCGACCGCGTCCTCACGAGCGCACCCAACATCGTCAAAGGAAATCCAGAATACATCAAATCCTGCATGACGCCCTACTGGACCAGCGTGCAAGCATGTCCTAATGCAGTGCCTTAAGCAACCTCACACCTCCAGCATCCCTGTCACATGGGCCCACAAAAATGCTTGACATATCTCCCGAACATGGGACGAGACGCTTCCAGATCCGTCACCAGGTACCACGGCCTGCCATTAATACCGGGTCTGAGGCTCTTATCCGCCAACTAGATGAACCGCCGCCACCTGCATATGCCATGTGACTGACTCTTGGGAAGACTCGGCCATGTTGGCATCGAGGGACCTCGAGGCAGCACGCGCCCTCATCCTCCAGGACGGACGCACGCACGCACTTGGTACCTATTTCTCTCATGTACTTCTGAAAACGCCACGTTGTATTCAAGTTGAGCTTGGCAATCGAGTGTAACTACATCATAGGCTCCCATGCTGCCACTTCTAAGCGAGCTCTAGCTCATCACGCGGTGTGTGGATGGGTTTCTTAACCGGGATCTAACCTCTCAACGCTCCTTCGGTGTGTGTGATACATCCATGTGGCTGCATGACGTCGGAATGTGGGCGCCGACGAGTATAGTCCTTGTCTCAATAGCAAAACGTGCTCAAGAGCTCCTTGGGATCTGCACCTCTCGGGCCGAAGTAAGATGCAGAGATTCAGTAGTAATAAGCACTTCGTAAGGCGGTGTCTCCCTGATTATTCTCCAAAGACCTCCTCCTTCGTCGGTGTCTCTTTGCGGCGCAGTGCCACAAAGTACGCCTCTTTAGATTCCTGGAGCCAGTCAGCGTGGAACATCCACTGTGCGGAAAAGCCTACAGCGCGAGAGGATTCCGGCTTCTCCCTGTACACCTTGGCGAAGAGACGCTTCAGCTTTGTCTCGAATGCCTTCTCCTCCGGCCCTTTGTAGTACTTGCAGAGGAAGTGGCCGCCAGTCTTGAGCGTATCGAAAGCGAATGTCAGGGCGGCCATGCACAAGTCCTACGAAATTTAGTAAAATCAAGAGTGATCGGCGGACTACCCACCATACTGCCGGCGTGGTCTCTGAAAGCATTTCCGCTGGTGTTCATCATCCTAAAATATGGGTCACTAAGGCTCTTCTTGTAGAAGCCGGCCGTTTGGTCCCAGGGTTCTGACATGTCGCTGAGCACCACGTCTACTGCTCTGCCCTGCTGCATATCCCTCTCCTTCAACGAGAGCCTAGTTGGAGCATTTCGTTCGCTGTCACTGGTCTCTGCTGGGCGCCCGATCGGTTCGAGTTCTACGCCCTCCAGATGAGCATGTCGTTCGATGTCAATATATCCTCGTTCGATGTCGTCCAGCTCTTCTTCAGTAAGTCCCTCGCTGGCTTTAGCAGAAACCTGTCTTCTGGGTCTGCCCAGGTCCGGATCTCGCACATAGGCTCGAACCTCGTCTTGGATTACAGGTGATAGAAAGTCGCCTTGTATGGTGGAGACACCTCGCGGGGGTTGTGCGGGTATCAGGTCAATACCTATGACACGACCCTCTGGAGCAGTGCGATCTGCAGCAACCTGGAGACATTAAGAGACTGTAGTTTGTGTAGAGATATCTGGCGAACCTGAGACCATGATCCTGGTGCAAAACCCTGGGGTCATTTAGCAGCATGCTTTCAATAAAGGCGACAACATACTAGATCGACGACAGTCTGTCCGGGTTGGAAAAGCTTGTGCTTGGTGTTAAGCTGTAGTACGTTAGTCAGTGCGCAGTTTCAGACCGAGGCGCAATCACTTCAAGCAGTTTGAACGCAGCGCGACTCTTCAAGCCTTGTACTTTGGCTTCTTTGGAGAAGAAGTCCCTGCCTTGGCGTGACTTCCATCTTGTTGAAGATGAGGATGCACGCCGATCTGAGAGCCTGTGACTGGATTGGTGAGAGTCACGAGTCGCGTATCTCAAGGCAAAACATATGGGCGCTACTGGATGATGTGAAGACTCCAGTAGCAAGCTATCTGTGAGCTGCTGAAATACACGACGTGATAGCATAGGGAAGGCGCAACGGTTGTGCGTCGCTTTCGCCCTCGCAGAACTTATACATTCTTATCGATAACGCAGGTACGTCAACGACTTCTAGCATGTCACCCTAGGCACGTCCTTCACAAGTAACAGAAGGGACGATGACCAGGGAAACTACATGCTGCAAGCGACCTAGGCTTGACTTGAAAAACAATCACTGTGTTCGCGATAGCTCCTCATCTTGGACTGGAGATGCGAGGTCATCTCCGAGATATTATCGTCTTCAACCTCGGAACGCCGAATCTACGATTACGATGTGTCAACGTCCACGGCCGACGTTTGTACCCCGCTGTCCTCCAGAGTCTAGTGAGCACGCGATCTCAGTTGGGTGTGGGGTCGTGTGCTCATCGGTGCGTACGTTTTGGATGCATTCGCAGTATCTGGTGATGGAGAGCCCGGGCGGTACATTCCGCATGTGACGACACCCATCCAAGACAGATGCAGTCTATCAAGATCATGAGCAGCAGAACTCTAAAACAGCATCCTATAGTGTTTCCAACAACGGCTGACGCAGAAGGAGTGACAGTGCGCAGCTGACTGCGTCGTCTAGTAAGGGGTGACTGAGGCGCAACGCCAGTTTGCGTGCATCTGCCCTGGTGTTCCCCTGACGTGTTGCCATGATGCGCGTCGAATCATGGCGGCTCGCAGTCAGCCCCATCAAGGGGCTGATGCCGGAGGGAGACGACAGGTGTCAACCAGAGCCAAGTATCAGATCGCGAGTACCC